TCCAGAGCAAGCTGCTCGCTGACCCGCGCTTCCACCTCGACGTCGCGCAGCGGGACAGGCGCGCCAAGGCGGAGCTCGTCGACCTCGCCGCCACCGTCGCCACCGCACGCCAGGCGAAGGGCAAGCAGGAGCGCAACGACGGTGATGCCGCGGGCGCTGTGGAGTATTTCCTCAACAGGCCGGAGAAGCGCGCCAAGAGGGAAAAGCTGTGAAGGGGTGCGTTGCGTCGTCTGCCCGAAAGCCACACACACACACAAAAAAAAAGCAAAAACAAACACGCGATTAAGTTAGCCGCCTTACTATTTTTAAAAAAAAAGGATACAGAGAGAGAGAGAGAGACGGAGGGAAAAAACACATCTGTGCGCCATGAAGGGGGCATGGGAAGCGGTGTCTGTACCTGACGCCGCATATTCTCTCATGACATTGNTGTTTTGCGTTCGGCTCTCCCTTGTTGTGTCCCGCCTAACAGGCCCTTTTTCTTTCTCTTCTTTGTGGATCTCGAAGCGTATGGCTGCCGCAGGAACAGGAGAAGGCGCCCACTACACGGAGGCGCGGCTGTCGTCGCTCGTTGCGTCGCAAGACTTAGAGGCGTGGAATGTGTTTGCCAGGGACGTGCTGGAGGAGGTTGCGCCGAGTGAGGCCTCCGCCGCAGCCGTGGCATGCGCCCTCCATCAGTTGCGTGTCGCCGCGCGCACAAACCTGGCGTTTGCCATCGACGCTGGTAAAGCGCTTCTGGCAGCTGCCGCGCACCGCGGCGCCGGGTGGGGTGCGGTACTTTTCGACGTTCGCGAGGCCGTTGCGGAGTGGTGCGTGCGCGCGGGCGACGAGGCGCAGGCGCAGGAGCTGTGGCGCGCGATGCTGCCCGCCGAGACCGGTACGGTGACGCTGCGGCTGCTGACGAACTTCCTCAACAGCGCCATTCGCACCCGCAGCTACGCCGTGGCGGAGACGGAGTGTCTGCGGGGGCTTTCCACCTACAAGGCGCTCTCGATGCGGCCGGAGGCAAACAACGAAGTGAACAACTTCCTCCTCGCCTTTGCTTCCCTCCTGGCGGCACGCCGCCGTTTCGTGGAGGCCGCGCAGCGTTTCTACGAGCTGTACCTGCGGACCAAAGTCCTGTCGCATCTTCGGGAAGCCATTGTGTGCGTCATTCAGGCCGATGCGAGCGCGGCCCGCTCGCGGCTGCTGAAGACGCTGTACAAGGATGAGAGTGCGGTGCTGCTTGGTGAGCTACACACCATTCTTAGTCGGGCATGCCACACCCATTTGCTGCGCCCGAGCGAACTGCAGCGTTTTCTCCCGTACGTGGAGCCGTCTGCGGATGCCTCTGCTGCAGTTGAGCGTGCCTTCATCCAGCACAACCTGCAGGCCATTTCCCGCGTATACTACAACATCGGCTTCACGGAGCTCGGCGCCCTCCTCGGCATCACCGCGTCGGAGGCGGAACGGCTTGTGGCGCAGATGGTGTCGGAGCGCCGGCTAGACGCAAGTCTTGACCAAACGACCGACACGGTCTTCTTCAGTCGCTCCGACAACGCGTCCTCGCTGGAGGCCTGGGACGCGAAGATCACGTCGGTTTGCGAGGAATTGGCCTGCGTGGCGGACCTCATTGTCCGCCAGCACGCGGAGTTCAATGAGTACCTTCTGCTTAAGTGAGTTCCTAGGAAGAGTGAAGGAAAAATCGAAAAGAAAGAGAAGCAAAACAGTTTCCGGGAGCGGAGAATGATTTTTTTGTCTTGCCTTCATTGCTTGTGTTGAAGATAGAGGCAGGGAGAGAGGAGGGGCTGCTGTATACTTTGCTCGTTTGCTCTCATAACTCGCAGCATGTGTGTACGCACTCACAGTTTGTATGCCTTGGTCCTGCTGCTTGGTGGGGCTTTGTAGTTTGTTCATGTCCCCGGAAGCTTGCACGGATGCCGCCCACAAGTGGTTCGTCTTGCTTGCCCTGGGCGTCGTGCTGGGCTCCGGCGCGCTCTCCTACAACGCCGTGTGGGAGAGGCGACGCACACAAGCGGAGCATCTTGCCCAGCTGCTGCTGAAAGGCAGGAAAAAAAGGAAACCGCAGAATACTGGTCACACAAACCAGGAAGTCCTGTACACTGGCATCTCACTACCCAGCTTCACCGCTTCTGATGACGCCGCAGCTGATTTCAGCGCCGCGCAGCAGAAGCAGAAGCAGCAGCAGCAGCAGCAGGACGCCGTGCATGGTGTGGATGCGGTGCAGGATGACTTCTCTCTTTCTCAGCTGCGCGAAACACCTGTCGGGCACAAGATGTCAGACGTGCCGTCGACACAGGATGTGTCGCTTGCCTACTCCGCGGTGAAAACTGCGTACGGGGGCACTGAGAGCGTCAGCAGCGGCGGTGCTTCCCTGCGTCAATCATCGAACGCGCACGGTAGGGACTCACGTGTCATGATTGGCGATCTGTCCGTTATCATCTCAAAGTGTTTCACCCCCGAGGCGGAGCTCTATCGTTTCCCGATTGAGTTGAAGCGCTACATACACACCGACTGGTCACAACTCACACTTGTCGCCGAGGACCTCGGCGCCACGGAGGAGAACCTAACGACAGAAGCTTACAAAACAAAATGCATCGAGCATGTTCGGGAATTGGCGGAGCAGCAGCAAACATACTTCAAGGTGCAGTATGACACCAGCGCAAGCGTCATTGTTACGACGATCATGGAGCTCTTTGTCAGTATCAATATTGGCCCGTCCCCAACGGTCACGGCGTCCTTCTTCCTTGTGCGGAACCACATGGCGTACACCATCCAGCTCCAGGCTCTGGTGGACTGCTACGAAGCGCGTCTCGCTGACCTCTTCCCCACCATTCAAAGTGCGCGGATTGCGAATACCCCACGCGCACACCCCGGGCAGCTCTGTCACGCGCTTCGGCCAACTCTGGGGGGGTCGACCTATCTCGTCTACACACCGCTGCCGCTTGTCGCAACACGCACAAGCGCCGGCGACACCCTTGCGCTGCGTCACCGCCACGTGAGCGGGTGGTCCGGCGAGGTGCTCACCTGGGCGCCGAAGTCGAAGGACGGGAATGATGACATCTCGGTTGAGCTCGTTCCGGGCACACTCTACCTCGTGTCACATTGGCATCTCCCACAAGGGAAGGCACGCGCCGCCGCCATGGAAGAGGTGAAGCCGCTGTTCGAGACGTTGAGTGCATCGATTGTGCCGAATTGCGGCAAGCAGTTGCCGTCCAGTTTCTACGTCTCTGATGTGATGAAGCTACGGTTGCCGCCCATCCACCTGTTCACCACAACAGTGTGTAGTCACACTGCAGATCCCTTCGTGAACGTCTTTGTACAGTCGAAGTTCTCTGGATTGTTCGAGTTTGAGTTTGGCACAGTCTCTGTGAGTGATGTGGGTGACTTTGCTCTGCTCATGAATCCGCTTTTCTTAAAGCTGGCACGGCCGCAGCTGGGGGTTACGGCCGAAGGGAATAAGAGGGTGACGTTTCTGGGCGAAACGGAGAATGGCATGATGCTTCGCATTGATGCCGTACGGACCACTGAGATGGCTGGTTGGTACGTTGTAAAGTGCTTGTATGCCAGGGATAGCGAAGTGCCACCAGATCTGTTGCAGTACATAGAAACTATATTCGACGGGTTCTCATTGTTTCTCCCCTCAAAGACGTCTATTGCCAGTCCTGGCACCTAGTAGGGAAGAAGATGCAGCGAAATTTTGTCACATATCACACAGAAGAGATTTGGTATTCTGTGGATGCATCTGCGAGTGTCCTCTGAAGTGCTCAGTATTCCTTGTTTCTTCTTTGTTTGGGTTTTTTTTTGTTTTCCGTTCTGGTATCGCCTTTATATACACAGATACGAAAACGTACACGAAGACATGCATCCTGCCCTTGGTGGTTTAGATGTTTTTAGAAAGCAGCTCGCGGCGTACCCTGGCGAGTTCAGCGAGCGCGGTGAGCGAGTGGACGGTGGCGGCCGCGTGTTGCTTCCCTCCTCGTGTCTGGCTGAGCTCTCCACCATGAACGTCGCCTACCCGCTTCAGTTCTGCGTTCGCTCCCGTTACGGTGCATGCTACGCCGGGGTGCTGGAGTTCAACGCAGACAACGGCATTGTCATCATGCCGCTGTGGATGTTCTCGGCGCTAATGCTGCAGCCCGGTGACACCGTCGTTCTTGAGACGTGTGTGTTGCCGCCGGGAAAACTTATCAAACTTCGCCCCCAGCAGACAAGTTTCATTCAGCTCAGCAACCCCAAGCAGGTTCTGGAGATGCACCTTAGTCACTACCCCGTCCTCACGAGAGGCACATCCATTGTGCTACAGTACCTCGACCGGGAATTTGTCATTGATGTCACTGACATCACAGACGAGGCGGACCGCAGAGTTGACGCCATCTCAACCGTCCGTGCCGATGCACAGGCGATTGAGTTGAAGGTGGAGTTCGAACGCCCGCTGGACATGCCACCAAGCCCAACAGAAGATGAGTTGCCAGCGCCACAAGGCCCAAATGTGATTGGGTCGGGTGAGGGCGTCGAATTCGCCCCATTTGTGTTTAAGCCGCCAACGATCGGAAAAGACAAGGAGACAAAGGATACCAAAGCGACAGAACAACAACAACAACAACAGGAATCACCAAAGCCTGCCTATGTTCCTTTCGCCGGAGGTGGGCGCCGTTTAAACGACAAGCCTGTAGCACCTGTGCAGGAACAAAGTGCTGAAGAGAAATCAGAGGATGAGAAAGTGCGTGAGAAGCGATTCCAGGCCTTCAGTGGTGTTGGGCGCTCGTTGCGATAACTTAAATGTGATAGCATCAGTGCACAATTGTTTTTATTTCCTGTTATGGAGTTGCTAGTTCTCACACCACTCTTTTCTTTCCCTGATTCTCTATTCCTTCCTCATTTACTGATGTTTCTTTTTGTGGTGGGTGCGATTACCGGGTCATGTTGCTCTTCAACGTTTCTCGATGGTCATTTGTTTGTTTGTTTTTTGTGATTTCTTTTTGCCCTCCTCGTTGGTTTTTGCCTCATTGTGTGTTTGTCACTGCGCCATTTCCGGTGCGTGTGTGCAATGCGAAAGTCATTCCCCACCGAGCACGCGGCATGGCGTCGTTCAGCATCGACGGGCGGATCGAACAGCGGTACAAGATACTGCGCCACATCGGCAGCGGGGCGTACGGCGTCGTGTGGTGCGCGCTGGACCGCTTGACGCACACCCAAGTGGCGCTGAAGAAAGTCTTCGATGCGTTCGGCAACCAACAGGACGCGCAGCGGACGTACCGTGAAGTGATGCTGCTTGACAACCTCCGCCATGAGAGCATCGTCGGCCTCAAGAACGTGATACGCTCCGTGAATGACACTGACCTCTATTTAGTCTTTGAGCTCGTGGAGACGGACCTCACCACTATTCTGCGCCACAAAGTCGTGGAGCCAGTCCACCGAAGGTACCTGGCGTACCAGGTCGTCAAAGTTGTCGCCTATCTACACAGCCGTGGCGTGATTCACCGCGACTTGAAGCCCGCAAATGTCTTTGTGAACTCCGACTGTCGCATCAAACTCGGTGACTTCGGCCTCGCACGGTGCCTCCACGCGCGGGATAGCGCCGACGCTTCCGACGACCTAACGGATTACATCGCCACACGCTGGTATAGATCGCCGGAGGTGCTTGTCAAGTCTTCGACCTATACAACTGCCATGGACATGTGGGCGGTGGGCTGCATCATAGCCGAGTTACACACTGCATCACCGCTTTTCATGGGGAATTCGACGCTGCATCAGCTCTCGATCATCATAAGTGCCGTAGGCGAGCCGAACGCTGAGGATGTGGACAGTTTAGGATCCGAAGAGGCGTGGCCCCTTGTGGACGCCCTTCCTGTTATTGAGAGTGATCCACTGCAGGATCAACTAAGCCAATACGATCAAGAAGCGGTGGATCTCATTTGCAAACTTATTGTTTTCAATCCTAAGAAGCGATTAACGGCGCGTGAGGTTCTCGAGCACCCGTATTTTGCCCCATTTGTCACAGAAAAGGATCTTGAGGAAGACAAGAAATCTGATCCGCTCGCGTTGCCGCTTCCAGACGACAAAGACTACCCTGCCGCACAGTATAGAGAAGCACTGTACGATGCCATTGCACATCGCTTTCGGCGGAGCATTGGTGTGTAGATACGGGAGCCGTGGGGGTGGCGTTCCCCAACCCCAACCCCCTCTCTTTGGCTTCTATTACTGTTGTTGTTATTGTTTGCTCTCTTTTCACACCGTCGGCAAACGTACGCAATACAAGGCCTTATTGTTGTACTGTTTTTGTGCATCTTCTCCTTACTGCCAACACTCCCTTTTTTATCGCTTTTCTCACAAGGCCACGAATGCAGACCACCTTTGGTACCGACGATGTCGAATGGGGGCCATTAGCAGCATCAGCGACCACACATGGTGCCCTCCGCCACCCGGATTGGGAACTCGGCTCCAGTTCACGGGGCAGTAGCGAGAGAAGTGGTAGTAGTAGTAGTGGTAGTAATGCCACCAGCAAAAAGAGTGGTGATGGTGAGTTTCGGGAACGCATTGATCGCCTGTTAGCAGCGTGGGAAAAGAAAACCACGCAGGTGATCCTCAAGTGGGGCAGCATGGGTGTAAAGTCCACCGAATACACCCGCATTCTGCGCCGCCAGGCGATTGAAAAGAGGCAAAAAGCGGAAATGCAGCGGCAGATGAGGAAGATCAAGCAGGAGAACCGAAACGAGCAAAGGCGCCGAGAGGAGCGCATCCGTATGGCTGAAAATGCATGGGCCCGACGACGCGCTGCCGCTGGCAGTAACAAGGACGACAAGAACAATGGGGGCGAGGCGAAACAGACCGCGCTGTCAAGGGAGCCGCGCCCACCTCCCACAGCACGGTCCGACCCCGAGATGAAGCGCGGCGTGGCTATACGGCGACGGCAGCTCCTCCCGGAGCGGCAGCCCAGCAAAGTGCCGTGCACCGCCCCAATAGCGCACGTCCCTGACGAGGAGATGGCGATCGCTGCTGAGGTCCCACACGCCCTAGACATATCCGCGATCGAGGTGGAAAAGACCAGCTCAGTGGGCTCGACGAATATGCTGGAAACGTGTGAGGAAAAGGTTGACGCCAATGACCCATGCGGATCCCCCACAGCGCCTGACACCATGGACAGGTCTGTGGGGAGAGACCCGGAGTCGCCGCATGCAGAGAAGAAGAAGGAGAAGGAGGAGGAGGAGGAGGAGAAGGAGGAGGAGGAGAAGGAGAAGGAGGAGGAGGAGAAGGAGAAGGAGGAGGAGGAGGAGGAGGTACTCTCACGCCTAGCGGCGTCAGAGTACGAGGCACCCACGACTCAGCCCACCTCCCCCATCCTTGATTTGCCTCGCATTGTGGCGACAGAGGAAGAGCCGGAGCTGGTGAGGGCTCTCGCTGCTGCAGCGGAAGTTGAACAGGTGATCGGTGGCTTCGAGGATGACAGCTTCGGTCTCTCTGGAATCGTTGTAAAGGATGTGGTGACACAAAGTGAACCTTTGCGTGGCGACGCCGCCGCTCATCCAATTTCTCCTTCCAGCAGTGGCAGCAGGAAGTCAGCGTCGAGCAGTGAGGACAAGCCAGAAGACGGGGAGCTGGAATCCAGGGCAGAGTCAACGCAGTCAGAGGTGGAGGCGCAGGAGGCCGTGGAAGATGCCAACTACGCGGATGTCTTTGAGAGCGGCACGGCAACATCCTCAATTAAAGAGGCCGAGGACGCGGTATACATGAGTAAAACGCACTCAGCTATTGGTGACAGCGATTCAAGACCGGACGTCGTCGATACAACAGAGTCAGTGCATGACAACAATGAAGCTGCTGTTGATGGGGCTTCTTCATCATCTCATTCCGTGGTGAACTCCAGTGCGTCCACCAAGCACGATTTGACAGTGCGAACAGAAAGCGGCGCCAACGACGACTACGAAGACGACTTTGAGGTCACAGCGTCTGTGATGACCGATGTATAATGAGAATATTTGTTTTTGTTTTTGTTTTTTACTTTGTACCACATTCTACTCATCTACTGTGTCCCGTCAAGCCCACGGAAATTTTTTGCATATATACAGCGCGCTTGGTATGGGGAATGCACAGCAACGCACAAATTACCGCGTAATATGGCGGCGATGTTCGACCGGTGTCATGGGGGATGGCGATCTGATACAAGATTTCGGATTCTGTGGCACTAATCGATGTTTTTTTCTGCTTTTTTGTGTATGTGTGTGATTGTGCGTTCATCTGCGCGAACCCGTATGACTTTGCTTCTCGACTTCTGTAAAGGTATTTGGCGTTTAGTACTTCTGTGGCTGCCCTCAAAGGCACACAACATGGCGAATTTAGAGTCAATGCTGCCCACTGGTCTCAGTCTTCCCCCACTGGTACTAGTCGTGTTATATCTTGCGGCAATCGTGTTCTCATGGGTTAACTACGCTGTGATCTTTCGCGTGAACATCGACCTCTTCGGCAGGGATCTTGTCGGTGCCTATTTAGCTTTCTGTATCGTTGGTACGGTGGTCGTCTTGTTCATCAGTAGTGTTGTGTGGCTGCGCGCGGCTCGTTATACTGCCAAGCAATCGCAACGAGTGCGTCTCGTCCTCTATGGTGTGTGTGCTGTGTTTTTCTTCAAGGATCTCCCTCTATTTGTGGCAGAGAGCATCTCCTCTGCACGCTACGGGTGGCAGAACGGATACCAGGGGTTTTGTTTTGTCGTCCAATTCTGTTTTTTCTTGCTGGCACTCATCGCCACGTGGCTTGCCTTCACGTGGCTCGCCACAAACTTTCTGGAGTGTCACTGGGGTGAACGCTACAACCACGCCTGTGGCTTGCCGGGAAATGCATTGTCGCACCCAGCGGCGATAGTGATAACAGCAACGCCACCGCCTATGATGTTACAAGAAGCCCGGGATAATCAAGATGGGAATCCAAGTTTTTTGGTGAAAGTGAATGCGCCGTACCGGGCTTCGTACGCTGGCGATTTCAGGCTCTCGGGGGCACCACTGGATCAGTGGAAGAACTCTAATGGGTACATTTAGCACTCCTATTGATTCTGTGTGTGTGTGTGTGTGTCGCTGACGTTGGCGACGTCCATCTTTCAAGGTGGTGGCATCCAACGCGCAAGATCAGTTATCTAGGGCCTGAATGTTACCAAATCACCAGTTGTTGCCCCCACCCCCATCCCTAAACACATGTTTACTATTTTGTTCAATATGTTTGCCCCTTGTTCCTGTAGATAGCATTAGATCCTTTCCTGTTTGTTGTGGAGGCGAAAAGGGGAAGAAGTGAGGTTGCGCGTATGGGGCAGGGCCTCACGTGTGGGGCAACACTTGGCGCAGCGGCTTCCATTAGCGCGCTCCCTATCCGGCTTACTGTGGCCGATCACCTGAGTATTTGCGCTGTTGGTGCCGGTTGTGGCCTTTGTATCGACTTTATTAGCGACTGCTGCGCAAAGGAAGGGCGTGTCGTCATCCACCGCGATGTCGTGCTACAGGCGCAAGATGTGCTAAGGCACGTGTCGACGTTCTACACGACGTGTGAGTCCAACCATGTTGCCCGTTTTTTCCGGCAGAAGCACGAGTGGTTGGTACTGGAGTCACATGGGCACCGCTACTATACTGTCCAGAAAAGTCCTGCGACGGGTGACATCCTCATGGATGTCCGAAACTCGCTCCGTGCTGCAAATGACTTGGGGTTAGGCGTTGCTGGGCGCCCGATTCACACTGGCGAAGTGCGGCAGCACCGCACAGATATGGAATTTGACCTTCCCAATGACCTTCAGGTCGCCTATATGATTGCGTGGCTGCGGAAGGAGGACCCCCGCTGGTCCTTCTCCACGGAGAACTCAAGGGGGTTCACCACACGCGCACGTTACGCCTTGCTTGACTTCTAGTCCAGCAGTAGGTGAAAAAGTGTGGCCCAGTCGTTCCTGTGGAGGACTCTTCACACAACATCTGTATATATTTTTTGCTTTTCTCTCTTTGTGGGTCTTCCCCCCCCCCCCCCCCNCCCCCCCCGACACACACACACACGCACATCTCCAATTTTTCTTTTCAATTTCTCCCTCTTTTCCTTTCTTTGTGGTTATTAGAGACATCCAAGAGGATGAACAAGGAAAAAGTGGGGCGCAGGTTGGACCTTGTGGGAAGCTCCGCCGGGTCCATCATCAGTGTGGCGGCTTGGTGTGCGCTGCAGGCCTCTAGCGCGGACATTATCCTTGCTGCTGTCGATGAGCGAATGCGGAGTCCGTCCACAACTGATGCAACGCGGTGTGCGCTACTCAATGTCATTCACGAGCTCCTCCTCACGTGCGCCGCAAACGGAATCCCGGAGGTGGGAAAGCGGGGCGTGCTGATGGCGGTAAGCAAGACGCTGCCTGGAACGGTGCAGGCGGTGCGCACACTTCAGGGGGGTGACGCAGGGGTGTTTGAGCAAGCCCTGGCGAGGGTCGTCTCGTGGTGGTCGATGCTCAACATTTTCCCCCTTGCGTGGATTAAGCAGCTCGGCGTCAAGGGGGATGCCGAGCAGCCCAGTGACGCGGCGGCAGGCGGTGCCTCAATGCCAGCACAACTGCATTACATTGCGGATATGATGACAAAATACAACGCAGCGAAAGAGGAGTGTCAGCGGGTGCTGCAAGCCTCACCGGAGCGTGGGACGTCTGCACGTGAGGAGGCGTTGCAGATGCTTGCCAAACTCCGCGCCGCTGTTGACAGTAGGTTGGACGGCGGCGTCTCCCTCGTTACGTGGCTGGATGCGGAGCGAGATGCGCTGGAGGGAAACGTGCAGAGCCCCGGTGGGATCACCCAAACAGGGCAAAACGAGGAGGACGACGTTCTCGGGTCCTTCTTCTAAAACTATTTTGTGGCCTGTGCGACGGAATCCGTTATCTGTGATGATCTCATGGGCACAACCCTAGATGTGAACTTTTCATTACGTCTCTTTTGATTGTTGTTTTATTACTCTGTTGCACCGTCACCACCTATCTCCCTACCCGTAGATTGTGACGCAGGATTAATTAGGGAAAAAAACAATAGCGATAAGAGTGCCCAAAGCATGGACCCGAATGTGGGATCTCGGCAGATGGAACAGGTGCAACAGCAACAGCAGGAAGTAGTGAATCCCACGCGGTGGTCGTGGAATCTGTACCCTGCCAACAGGATTGATGCCGCACGGATGGTGGTGCCCCTCGGCTGTGTCTATGCGCCGATCGGATCCCCTTGCCTGGAGCTATACTATGATCCTCTGCGCTGTGTGTGTGGTGGTGTCTTAAACCCGTATTGTGTCATCGACTACAGGTCGAGTACATGGGGTTGTCCCTTGTGTGGGACCAAGAATAATTTTCCGCCGCAGCACGCCCATATGTCAGAGCATAACTTGCCGTCGGAGCTGTTAAGGGGAAATGAGATGGTGGAATACACGACCATTGTGAAGCGTGACCCGCCGGCATTTGCCTTTGTTGTAGATACATGTGTGGATACCGAGGGTGAACTCGATGGGTTAAAAGAATTTGTGATGTGCGCCCTCAGCAAGATCCCCCCTGAGGCGCGGGTCTGTGTCATTACTTATGGGACCACAGTGCAGATACACGAGCTGAGCGGGGCAACGGAGTACCCTCGCTCGTTAGTTCTGCGTGGGAGTCAAGAAGTCACCGTGGAGACACTCAAGAAGGTTATGAGGGAACCGAATCGGTTTGTTGGTGCCCTCGCTGACGTATCATTAACGGTATCGTCCATTATTGAGGAGGTGCAACAGGATGTGTGGCCTGTGTCGAAGTCACACCGCCCGCTGCGCTGCACTGGCGCCGCACTCTCTGCCGCTGCGAGTGTCCTTGAGATTATGTCTCCGAACACTGGATCTTGCATTCTCGGCTTTATCTCGGGTATCTGTACGCAAGGGCCAGGCATCGTCGTTGAGACGACCCGCGAGAAGTTCATCCGCGGCCACGCCGACATACGAGACAATACAGAGGCTGCATCGTTTTGGGAATCGTCCTGTGCGTTCTACGACTCCCTCATGCAGCGAATTGTCAAACAGGGGCATTCGCTCAGTTGTTTTACTGCCTCCTTGGATCAAACTGGTATGGCAGAGATGAAACTGTGTATTCAAGCTTCTGGAGGTGTCGTTCTCAACGACGAGTCATGGCGAAAGGAGCCCTTCCGCCAGTCGCTGCATAGCTTCTTCGAGCGGAAAGACGACGGTACGCTGAAGATGGGCCTTAACGTCACGATGGACGTCATCACTTCGTCGACGTGGAAGGTTATGGGGGTCATTGGGCAGTGCGTTGGCACAGGCAAGAAGTCGTCATCGGTGGCTGACTACGAATTAGGAATGGGCGGCACGTGTCAGTGGACCACGTGCATGATAGACTCTTCTACGAACTTCGCCATCTACTTTGACACAACTGCAGCGGCACCGTCAGAAGCGGCGAAACACCCTGTGCGATATGTGCAGTTTGTTACCAAATATGAGATAGGCAATGAGGTGCGTACACGTGTATACACGGCAATACACCAAGCGCAAGGTGTCACGAGCATGCCTGAACTGGCGGCGTCATTTGACCAGGAGGCGGCCGCAGTTTTGCTGGCGCGTGAGGCTCTGCATCGAGCCGATACCACGCCACTGTTTGACGTCCTACGCTGGCTGGACCGAACAGTGGTGCGCCTTGTTAGCCGCTTCGGTGACTACCTCAGGGATCAGCCCTCTACACTCAAACTTCCGCAGCAATTTGTTTTTTTCCCTGCCTTCATGTACCATCTACGACGATCCGCGTACTTGCAGGTGTTTAACTGTAGTCCAGATGAGACCGCCATACTGCGTTTGATGCTTCTCAAGTCATCCGTACCGGATTCGATTATCCAGATTCAGCCCACGCTATATAGCTACCGCATGGATGCGCCACCGCAGCCTGTGCTGCTAGACAGCGCTGCCATCCAGCCTGACAACATACTTCTCCTTGATACCTTCTTTGAAGTTCTTATTCACCTCGGCTCCACCATCGCGGCATGGCGGAAGGCCGGGTATGCCGAGCAGGAGGAGTATGCCTACTTTAAGGAGTTCTTGCAGGTACCTGTGGCAGATGCGGAGGTGCTTGTGGCGGGCAGGTACCCCACACCCCGCTTTATCTTCGTATGTCAGGATGACCCCGATGCGCGAATCCTTTATAATAGGATCAACCCGAGTCGTTCTTACGGCAGTGAAGGTAATCAGAAATACGGCACAAATGAGGGGGAGCTGGTGTACACAGATGATGCATCGCTTGGGGTGTTCATGGAACATTTGAAAAAGCTTGCGGCGTCACAATGAGACCTCGTGGTGGGTTGTGCTTCGCCCCGCTTCGCTTTCCCATTGTGCCTCACTGAGGCTGTTCTGTAGCTGCCTTGGAGCATCCGCCGTTTTTTTTTTCGGAGGGGGGCATAGGAAGATGTGGAAGGGAAAGAGTTCTGATTGACAGTTGGAAGGTGGCTCTCCCACTCACTCCCCAGTGTCCCTCTCTCTCCCTATCTTTCTTTCTGAGAAAAAGAGAGCCTTTTAAGGAGGTGATTGAGTTTACTAAGGCTGCTCTATTATTGTTATTATCAGTATTATTATCAAATCGCGGTTCTCTCTCTCTCTCTCCACTTCTTCGTTTCTCCTTTCTTACACACTGTTTTACGCCAGGAAGAAACTCCCTACCAGTGTGTGCGCATGTTGAGTGTGCTACTAGAGTACACGTTGTGGTATGTGGCGTTCGTGCATCCCCTCGTGATGGGAACGCAGTTGTGTCGCCGTGCGCGAGAGGGGAGGTCGGTGGACATGAGGCTTGTCACGAATGTGACGCTGGCTATGGTCATTCTGTGGGTGCTGGATATTGCGGATGTGGTTCTTCTCTCGTACCTTCTGTCGATGCGATCTCTATACCTGTGCCTGCGTATTTTACTGTCCATGTACCTAATTCACCCAAAGTTACGCGGCGCAACAAAGGCGTACAGCCATTTCTTCGACGCCATCGTTCGCTACTACGCGCCGGTCGTGGACGAGCTCGTGACGCGGCATCTCGAGGAGCTGGAACGAACGGGTGTCGCACAATACCTTGGCAAGCTCTACCTCTGTTTGGTGGCTGTGGCCGCGGATGTGTTAGACATAGCCAAGGAATTTGTGGTGGCATCGACGGACACAAATCTTTCACCGGAAAAGACGGAACAACGAAAAACGCCGCTAGTCGGAGTTGAAAGAGGTGCACCGATGCCTCGAGTTTCGCCGAAGGCAAATGACGGTTTCTCGCGGGAGAGCAGCAGTTTGTTCGGCTTCATAAAATCCAGGAAGCACACCCCAAATCGGTGGGAGTCGCCGCCCCCGAATGCAGACGTTGGGTTCTGCGTGAGTCCCCGCCTCTCAGCGGAACAAGTGGTCTATCCGGCGCCACGGAAGCGCAACCCTACAGATTGAGTGGAGAAAAATAAACCGTTGTTTGCTGGTTTGACGCTTCAGATGTTGTATGCTCCAAGAATGGAGAAGTGTAGAAAATTGCTTTTGTTTGAAATGGAATATTGTCTGGCTCGTGGTCATCGTCGGTGGAGGTGTCTGTAGCGCTGGTGGAGTTGTGCCTTTGGTGCGTGTAGGTGGTCTCTTTTCGCCACCATCAGGCTGTTTCTTTCTCTCTCTCTCTCTCTTTCTCTCTGACGCGCTCCTTTTTTCTTTTCTTTTTTTTTTTTTTTNTTTTTTTTTTTTGTGTGGTGGCGGGTGCCTGAATCCGCTTGTGCACTTTGGCATTTGCAAACCTCAAACAACAAAAGGGGGAGGGAGAAATCAGCCGGGCATGTTGAGTGCACAGGGGGCAATTACCAATGACCTCGTTATGGTCGAGTGCACCAGCTCCCAGGACCGCCGTGCGAAGGAGGTGTTCCTCCTTAGTGAACTGGAGCGCGTTTGGGACGCGCTTTCCGTCGTCATTCGGCACTACCTCATTGAGGGTCACAATGTGCGCGTTGCCAACTTTGGCTCCTTTTGGTTTGAGAGCAGGCCTGTGGTGTCAAACGGGGTTGAGCAGTACTACGCGCGTCGCATTCACTTTGGCATAGACGGCGGCTTTGCACTTCGCTACAATCTAGACTCCAACAAGGTGCCCCAGGCACCGCCCAGACTAGAGTACGTGAAATTCAACATGGCGGATGTCGTTGCCATCGCGGCCGTTCCTGCACGCACGGCGTCCATGGCGCTTCGCGAGTTCTTCTCGTACGTTGGGGAAGGACTCTTCAGGAAGCAGGTGTTCAAGATAACGTTCCCCGGCGTCGCGAGCCTAGTCATCAAGCGGGAAAAGGCGGCACTCGACGTTGCAGAGTCCCTGCGACGAGACATCTTTGCCATCGACTCCCGCAAGTGGCCGCTGGCGGTGCGGGAGGCGGCGGAGGCGGTCGTCGTAGAGACACCACGACCGTCAACGGCGGCATCGTCGCGTCCGTCCTCATCGCGCCTCAGTCGGGCGAGCACCGCGCCGAGGCCGCT